CCTGTCAGTGATATGATTCATTGATGTATCAGCAATGGGGGAAGATCAGCAGGATGGAAACAGGCAGCAGTGACTGGGAATGACCCAAAAGACTTGGGGCCTTTAGTCATCATCGCTCCTGCTCTGCCACTGCTTTTCTCCTCTTTATTTCTCTTCTCTCCTCAGTGGCACTAGCTCAGCTCCCAAAACAGCGATTCTGCTCTGGCCCCCACATTCTGCCCTGCCCTGGAGGCAGCGCCCCTTCTCCTACACTTTTATTAAACAGTCTGCTCTCTCTATTTCCCCCATTGGCTCAGTATTGCTGCTTAAGGACAGAGCATGGCAATGCACCTGGCCGGTGCTACCATTAAGGCAAACTAGGCGGTTGCCTAGGGCGCCAAGATTTGGGGGCACCAAAAAGCGGTGCCCCCAAATTTTTTTTTATAGCGCTCCTACACCCCCTCCCCGAGTGCATGGTCGCTGCTCCACTTCTCCCGCCTCCCAGGCTTGCAGCACCAATCAGCTGTTTGGCGCTGCAAGCCTGGGAGGGGAGGAGAATTAGAGCAGGGGGCGGCGTGCTTGGGGAGGAGGCGGAGCAGAGGTGAGCTGGGGTGGGGAGCTGCCGCACGGCTCCCCACGGGTTGGGGGAGCTGCCGCAGGGGGGGGGGGCACCTCAGGGCGGAGGGGGGGCAGGGAGCTTGTCGCAGGGCTGGGGGGGGCGCAAGGTGAAAGTTTCGCCTAGGTCACGAAACTTCCTTGCACCAGCCCTGAGGGAGCCTAGGCACATAAGTCAGGCTTTGTGGATCCCAGTCTTCTTCCTGTAATTTTCCTAGGAGCCTGAAAGCCAGGCATTGTGATACTGAGCGTCACAGGGCTTAAGTCCCTCTGTGGATCCAGGTCTCACCCACTTGCATTGTCAGGCCAGCTGATCACAGTCTTGCCAAGGCCAAATGTTCCAAAACCAGGAGACAGCCTGAAAATGCATATGCTTGTCTTAAAAACCACGACTGTTTTGTTTTTTAATAATACATTTTGAGTTCTTTCTATTTGCTGTGGGGTTTCTGAGCCTGTAGGATACACCAGAGTCATGCTTTCAAGCTTTTCTCTGCAACCACGAGGGCTAGAAACGTACTTGTTATTTTTAATGAAAGCTGAGAGCCACAGAAAATAACATGACTCCAGGAGCTAAAGCCTTAAGCAAAATACCAAATGGCAAATCCTGGTGTAAACTGTCACAGCTTCAGCAGAGGATCTGTCTCCGGATATCATGACTCATGATAAAATCATGATTTGGCAACACTGGTTAGGCTGAAATCTGGCCCTGTACAGAAGGCATCATGTAGGCCCGATATTAATCTGTAAGGGACAGATTTTCAAGCATTCAGCATCCACAAGAGGGGTCAGATTTCCCAAAGAGCTTGGCACTCAGTGTGACTTTGTGCGGGTACTCTGGACTAAGGTGAAGATCACCGCTAGCAATCAGAGGTTGCCACAGTTCTTAGGGGATAGTTTTGTAAGAGATCTCATGCTTTGTCCTTAAGTGACTCAAAAGCCACGAGGCAGGACTGTCGCTGCAGCACCTGCCTTGGAACAACAGGGAACTAAGAAAGTTTCATCTGAGATTGCTGCCACTTTTAGAGGAAATTAATATTAGCAGTTTCCACTTTTTTTCCCATCTGTAATTAGCAAGATAAGGGAGCTGGGATTTGGCAAGGAGACCAGCTAGTCTCAATCCAATAACTCTGCAATCTAGGATGAAGAAGCAGTGCTACTCATTTGACTAACAAGAGGCTCTCACGGTGAGCATTTTTTAGCACTCTAAATGAAGTGTCATTGAACTGATTCTGAAACCCAGTGATTTGTATCGAACTACTGAAAATGTCCCTTGCGCATAACAGAGGCAAGGAATTAATGTACCCTAGCCCAAGTCCTCCACAACCAAGACACAGGTTCAGTCTTAAATAGAGATAGAGCAAATTGATTCAGGTGAATAAAATAGACATATTTTGCCCTATCATGCCCTTTTCATTCAGGGAACTCAACATGATTTACAGACAGTACCTATCTATCTACCTATCTATCCCCATTCACCCCGTCGTCTATCTATCTATCTACCTATCTATCCCCATTCACCCCGTCTTCTATCTATCTATCCCCATACACCCCCTCTTCTATCTATCTATCTATCTATCTATCTATCTATCTATCTATCTAAGGCTTGGTCTACATACCCCCCTAATTCGAACTAAGGTACGCAACTTCAGCTACGTGAATAACATAGCTGAAGTCGAAGTACCTTAGTTCGAACTTACCTTGGTCCACACTCGGCAGGCAGGCTCCCCCGTCGACTCCGCGGTACTCCTCTCGGCGAGCTGGAGTACCGCAGTCGACGGCGAGCACTTCCGGGTTCGACTTATCGCGTCCAGACTAGACGCGATAAGTCAAACCCAGAAGTTCGATTGCCAGCCGCCGAACTAGCGGGTAAGTGTAGCCAAGGCCTGAGAGGTGTGATCTGCCTCAATCATCTCACTTGGGGCCCAGTATGCTCCTTGATTGTGTGGCTGTGGAATTTGGCCTTTTTCACAGGGGCTGCCTACAC